TTTAAAGAGTGGAATAATTCGATGAGAATGCGAAATGCGGAACATTGGCAAATTAGAGAGGAGGAAATCAAAATTTCCTTCAGTATAATACACCCAGCATTTCCAGCCTTTTCATTTTTTGTCCCATATTCGATCAGGCGGGCATTAGATTATAAAGACACCGGCGATCCTTTGAAATCGTCAAAGGCACCACTTGAGATGACAGGATCGAGAAACACGACAAAAAGGACATCGAACTCTGAATGTCTTTGGCATTTGATGAAAACTTCCTCAAGAACGAACTTTTTCAGCAAACCAGGAACATGGCTAGAATCGACTGGAGATCAAAACCTGGTCATCCGCGGAACTTTATGGTCTGTGCTACTGTTAAAGTTACGAGTTTTCGAGGATTACGGTGCATGATAATATATTAGGTTGTCCGGAAAGTTCTCAGCGTTTTGAGTGTTTCACTTCAAACGATCATAACTTTCTTAATACTCATCGAATTCAATCGAAATAAGCACCGTTCGAATCAGCATACTTTCGCCAATGTGAAACCAATCGATAAATCCCATCAAAGGAAAAGCTGGGTGGTCGAAGAATCTACGAAATCACGAGGGCTCTTTCGCCTGGTCCTAATTGATGAAGTATTTTCCTGCAAGGAAGTTCTGAAAAAGTATGAAAACGTGATAGTGTTGAGTGAAAGGTCCAGAGAATATGAGTGGGGAGGTAGAACTTCGAGCCACCACTTTGTGCAGTTTATGGATAGTGATTTGTGAAAGGTGTGGGAGGGCCTTGTTATACAACAGCACCCTCGCAGATTCGCACCCTTTCTGTTGACAAGTGCTGGCTGCAGCTATCGCAATTTTCGGTAGATTTCGTCGATTTCTTCACAGTAGGACTTTGCTGTGATGGTTCGGCCTGGTGAAAAAAGTTATAGTGGATCATACCCGCCGATGACCACATCACTGTGACCATAATCTGTTCTTCGCGAGGATTCGGCTTAGGAAATTGCCTCGGTGGCTCATCGGCATCCAAGCACTGACCGGAACGTCCCTCTTATCATACATGATCCACTTTTCCTCACAGGTGACAATTCCTTCCAAAAACGGGTCGTTTCTGCTGCGCAAAAGCAGTGAAGAAGAAACCTCGAGACGTGCCAATTTCTGCCTTCACTCGAATTGTGGGGCACCCACTTGTTGAGTTATTTCGCGTTCCCAATGCGTTTCAGACCATCCGCAACAGTGGTTTTGCCAACGCTAGCTTTTCTGCAATCTCTCGAACTATTTGGGATGGGTCAGCCTCCAAAAACCCCTTCAAATTCTCGTCAGGTTTTGCTTTAGGTCGACCGCTACGAGGTTCATTTTTAGGGCTGAAATCTCCAGAACGAAATTTGTCGAGCCATTGCCGCACGATGCTTTCTCCAACACTATTAGGCCCCCACACCTGGTCAACTTGTCGAGCTGTGTCGACTGCTTGTTGACGTAATTTATAGTTGAAGAAAAATATCGTCCGAAGTTGCTCTTTTGACATGCTCCGAAAAGTCTTGGGAAAGGAGGTTAATCAAGCAACGGTGAAACGGCAATAACACCATCAGATAGCTCAAAAAATTCTCTTCAGGATGTACTACTGAGGATGAGTTTTTAATCAGCAATGAATGTACAAATAATTAATACAAAACGCTGAGAACTTTCCGGACATCCAAATAAAAGCGACCTTTAAGCATGAAGCAATAGGGATTAATCGACAAGAATGCTGAGTCATGGACAAAAGTCTTGACTGGCGAGACCCTCACGCTCACGGGTTTGAGTCCCTCTGGGGTCAAACCGTTTGCGCATATCTCAGCTTTTTGTGCGCGAAAAGCGGCGTCAAACAGTAGCTATCATGATTAAATCCCTCAAAAATAAACGAAATCATCACCTATAAAAAGGCTAGCAGGACATAGCGTACTACAGTACAAAACAGGAAATTTTTGAATTTTTGTTTCAATTCAACACATTACTGCGACCTGTTATGAAAAAGAGCAGTAGAAATGTATGCAAAAAACAATAGAACTAAATGGCTGGAAATAGCAATGTTAAGGGTCCACCATTTGACTTTTTCCACGAAAAAAGGTGCTCAAAGCTTTTTCTTCCACAAAATCTTACGTTTGCCTTTACCTTGACTACTTTAGCACTTTTTCGTAAACTGGCTTCCTTCAGGGAGGTATGAATCCCATAACTTTTTTATTGAACAAATTTAGGTTCAGGAACTTCTTACTATTAGCTATTATTTTTAGTGGTATAACCATACAACTGCAAGTGCTCCTTATATCCTGCCAGAGGTGCACCAAGTTCGTAGAGTTTAGCTGCAGCCCCAGCGGATCAATGAAATATCCTCTTCATTAAAAACCAAATAACATCCACGTATTCTTGGATGAGAAGTTCCTGATAGTAGCGGGGGGAAGAGTGTGATTCATTCAGAATTTACTCAACTATAGAGAGTTCTCACTAGTTGGAGTGAGTACAGAGTCGATCCCAGGCAGTTCTGAATAGTATGGACAGCTCCATTACTGCATGTGTAGTTGAATGAATGCAGTTAGTGTAACTAATCAGTGGTGGTGAAAAAGAAGGTCGCCTCTTGAGACCGGATATTTTTCGAGATATTTTGGCGTGGTCGAAAAATTATTGGGTTGGCACATAAGTACTTTCGTTTTTTTTCAACCGGAAATTTCGTTCCAAAGATAAAATGTTTTGTTAACAAGCTTGATATCATCTGATAGGAAACTTCACGTAGTTTTAGAATATCAAAACGGCTCCGGTTGAGGAAAT